TCTGTCAGATGTGGGGTTGGTGAAGATCTTTTCCCATTCTGTAGGCTGTCGCTTTGCCTTGTTGACCGTATCCTTTGCTCTACAAAAGCTTCTCAGTTTCAAGAGGTCCCATTGATTGATTGTTTCTCTCAGAGTCTGTGCTACTGGTGTTCTATTTAGGAAGTAGTCTCCTATGCCAATGCGTTCAAGACTACTTCCTACTTTCTCTTCTAGCAGGTTCAGAGTAGCTGGATTTATGTTGAGGTCCTTGATCCACTTGGACTTAAGTTTTGTGCACGGTGATAGATATAGATCTATTTGCAGCCTTCTACATGTTGATATCCAGTTTTGCCAGCACCATTTGTTGAAGATGCTTTCTTTTTTCCATTGTGCACTTTTGGCTTCTTTGTCAAAAATTATATGTTCATAGGTGTGCGGATTAATGTCAGGGTCTTCGATTCGATTCCATTGGTCCACATGTCGGTTTTTATGCCAGTACCAAGCTGTTTTTATTACTGTAGCTCTATAGTAGAGCTTGAAGTCAGGGATCGTGATGCCTCCAGAAGTTGTGTTATTGTACAGGATTCCTTTGGCTATCCTGGGTTTTTTGTTTTTCCATATGAAGTTGAGTATTATTCTTTCCAGCTCTGTGAAGAATTGTGTTGGTATTTTGATGGGGATTGCATTGAATCTGTAGATTGCTTTTGGTAAGATTGCCATTTTTACTATGTTAGTCCTGCCTATCCATGAGCATGGGAGATCTTTCCATTTTCTGACATCTTCTTCAATTTCTTTTTTCAGGGACTTAAAGTTCTTGTCATATAGGTCCTTCACTTGCTTGGTTAGTGTTACCCCAAGGTATTTTATGTCATTTGTGGCTATAGTAAAGGGTGATGTATCTCTGATTTCCTTCTCCGCTTCTAACAAAACTAATAGTCAAGGAGAAGGCTAAAGCATATACCTGTGTTATACACGATGGTACGATGATAAATTTACAAAGATAAACATTCTTTACACATGCATGTGTATGTGTGAAGACATGTTTTATGGGCATGGGTGTACATGAGGATTACAAAGCACATGTTCACTATGTTAATTACTTTCTGTTGTGACACCATACCCAACAGGAACAGCATGTGGAGAAAAGGTGTGTTTGGTTCATGGTTTCAGACTGATTGGTCCACACAGTGGGGGAGGCACAGCAGGACAGTTCAGATCCTGGTACTATGGTGGCAAGAGCATATGAAAAAGGTGGTTCACATGCCGGAAGACCAAGGAAGCAGCCTGTAAGGAGGGTTCGAATAAAACCTTCAGAGGCTCAACCCCAGAGAGCTACTCCTGTCACCCAACTCACACGAGCCCCACGAGAGGAGACCAAGATGGAAATCCATGAACCTGAGAAGATGTTTCAAACCCGCACCACGGCCCCACTCACCCCCCAAACAGACAAGATAAAGAGAAACAAGAATAGGCCTTTAAAATTCCCTGAAGATCCTGTGGGATTTATTGATAAAAAGCAGGCAAACATTTACAAGACTTGTCATCTCCACCCAGTACTACCAACCCTTAACCACTACAGAAAATTTTAATTCATTCTGTTCACTGGAAATTTCCACACTCCTGAAGAGACCCAAAGTCCCCAAAACAAATTTCACGTTGACTACACACTTTAATTAGAAAAAAGAAAGCTGAGAATCAATTACGGGGAAATATCAGAGTGGTTTTAATAGCTGAGAATAGAGAAAATGTCTTTAATCACAACACTTGAAAGGCAGAGGCAGGTGGATCTGTGTGAGTCCAAGGCCAGCCTGGTCTACATAGTCATGAGTTCTGGTACATCAGAGCTACACAGAAAGACCCTGTCTCAAAAAAGCAAAAACAACAAAAATAAAACTTAAAACAGAAAAGTGTCTTAAATCTGATCACATCAAAATCAAAACCTTTCCTGAGATAAAAAAAAAAAACCATTATGAAATAGAGACTAGAAAAATAATTTTATGATACCTGTGAATTAAAATAATTAATTTATGAAAATCTAAAGAACATCCAATAATTAGTAAAGAGAAAAACAGTAGAACTTTTTAAAATAAGCATTGGGGCTGGAGTGGTAGCTCAGTGGTTAAGAGCACTTACTGCTCTTACAGAGGACCTCGGTTTGGTTCCCAACACCCAGCTTGTGTGACTGACAATAGTCTCTAACTCTAGTTCCAGGGATCCAAGGCCTGTGATCTCCACTGACACTTGCATGCATGTGTTATGGCTAAACTCACACACACATACACAATAAGTAAAAATAGGAAAATTTTAAAAGAAAATCAACAATTTCCAAATGCCATAAATAAATCTGTTAATCTAGTCATAATGGACTCCTACTTTTGTGTGTCAATAATCAGTTGCTGCGTCTCTTCAGATGGTAGGTGGTGTCTTGTCCACACCCTAGTACTCTCAATTGCCTTCATCCATCTAGGTACTCACATGGCAGCTCACAACCATTTGTAACTCCAGTTCTAGACTTAAATATTGAGAAAAGATCAAGTGATTCTAAGGTGAAAAATTCAGTGACTTACTAATATGAGAAAGTATTTAAGCTCATTAATAATCAAGAAAAGGTAAGTGATATAACAGAGCACTGTTGCAAAATCATTACATTAGCATTTTTTTTGTTTTGTACAGAATCTGTCAATATTGGTCTTGCTGAATCAGTGAAGAAACAGAAACTTTCACATTCCTCTGGTAATTATGTAAATTTAGATAATAATGTGCCCCAAGCAAATTAATATCATCTAGCATAAATGAACTGAAAACATTCACCCTGTGTGTGACACAGCATTTCAGTGTCACGTCTATACTTTAGAGAATATTTGGAAAGTGTTCTATAAGGAGACACATTCACAGAATCATTGAAAGGCTCAAAAGGAATCGAAAAGCCCTTGAAGAAGAATAGAGAAATCAATAAACAAAAGGATCATAAACTGAGTTACTGAATGACCTGTATAGTGTCTGACTTTTGCTGGAAATTTTAAAGAAAACAAAGAAATTACAAATCTTTTGTAAACTCTTATGTATATTATTAAATTTTTAAAATATAGAATATAGGATACTAAATTCATGAAAACATTTTTTTCTGGAAAACTAAAGAAAAAATAAAATTAAAGATGTGACATAACAGGGGTACTAGAGTTTGAGTCTTGAATGTTCACCAGAGGCCATATGTCAATTGGTCACCAACCTGTGGTGGCATTAGCAGGAAGTAGAAGCTTCAAGAGGTGGGACCCAGTGGGAAGGAGTTAGGCCACGGTGGGGGCATGTCCTTGAAGCTGATATTTGGACCTGTTTTAGCATGTCCTTCCATTGCTGTGAAGAGACACCACAAGTAAGGTAATGCTTATAAATCATCTAATTGGGGGCTTGATTACACTTTTAGAAAGTTAGTCCATCTTTATCATGGTGGGGAGCAGACTGGCATGGCACCATAGAAGTAACTAAGAGCTTTACATCCTGATCCACAGGCAGCAGGCAGAGAGAGACACTAGGCCTGGGGTGGGCTTTTGAAACCTCAAAGCCCACCTCCAGTGACACACCTCCTCTAACAATTCCACACTTCCTAATCCTTCCCAAACAGTTCCATTAACTGATAATTAAGCATTCAGACATAGATTCGTCTATGGGGGGCCATTCTCATTCAAAACACCACAGGAACTTAGTCCCTTACTTTGCTTACTGGTCTGCATGAGGCAGACAGATTCTCTTTGCACTGAACATCCATCATGATCTTCAGACCCAAAACAACAGGTCAGGTGACCATGGCCTGAAATCTCTGAAGCTAAAAGCCAGAAAAATATTTTCTTTCTTTGAGGATGTTTATCCCAGGTATTTGTCTCAGCAGAAGAAAGCTGACACATAGGGACTTAAAAAGAAAATAAAAACTGTGGCAAAATAGATATGTCAAATGTTATCACTGGGTCCATTTTTAAGCAAACAGTTCTGTTGCAGTTCATCCTTTCACATTGTGGTAAGGCCATTGCCTCCATCCATCTCCAGAATTGTCTTCATCTTACAGAACTGAAACTGTCCAGTAATATGGCCTCCTCATAACTCTCCTCCCTCCAAGCCCCTGGAACCATGGCACTTTGTACAGGTTTTACTACTTGGTGTGATGATCAGCTTTAACTGTCAACCTGATACAACTTAGAATCACATGGGAAGACACAGCCTCAGTAAGAGCTTGTTTATGCTGGTTCATCTGTAGATGTGTTTTGTGGAGACTGACTTTTAAGGGGACTTACGCGGGACTCAGCCCACTGTGGATGGTGTTATTCCCCAGGCAGGGGATACTGCTCTGTGTCAGAGTAAAGAAATCTAGATAAACACAAGTAAGTAAGGTAGCAGCTGCATGTGTTTATTTCTCTCTGCTTTTGTCTGTGGATTTAATGTCACTAGTTGCCTCAAGCTTTTGCTGGTGTGATTTCACTGCAGTTATGTGGTCTAACATGGACGGAGCTGTGAGCTGAAATTAAGCCTTTCTCCCCTACATTGCTTTGGTAGGATGATTTTTTTTTTTGTCACAGCACCAGAAATAAACATCTAGCTATCCCATATAAGTGAAATCACTTTTCACCCATTTGTGATTAGTTTATTTCATTTATCAAAATGTTTTTATTTCATCTACATTATCATGTGTGTCATCACTCCCTTTCTTTGGCTTGTTGAGTAATATTTCATTGTGTGTGTATATCTCCTTTGCTTATCTGTTCATCAGTCTGTGCACAATTGTTTTGCTTCACGGTTTTACCGTGTGAATAATGCCACTCTTAACATGAGTGTACAAATACCTCCGAGTTTCCTCTCAGTTCTTCTGGGTACATACTTAGATTTAAAGAAGATTCCTTTCTTTCTTTCTTTCTTTCTTTCTTTCTTTCTTTCTTTCTTTCTTTCTTTCTTTCTTTCTTCCTTCCTTTTATCCTTTCCCTCTCTCTCTCCCCCCTCTCTCTCCCTCCCTCCCTCCCTCCCTCCCTTCTTTCCTTCCTTCCTTCCTTCCTTCTTCCTTCCTTCCTTCCTTCCTTCCTCCCTTCCTTCCCTTCTACACAGTCTTACTGTGTTTTCTAGGCTGGCCCAAACCTCACAATAGAGAAGTTCCTACCTTCTCTATTCCTGGATAATAGGTGTATACCATTACACCCAGCAGGACTTTATTTTCTTTTTATCTTAAAAGCTGCATAACTTTTAAGAAAAGCAAAACAAGCTTTGAAGTAAATGAGCCAAGATGTTCACAATCTTTTAGTCCTAGGAGTGGCGCTATTTTTGTAGTTTCCTTGAGTTTGTAGATTTCTTGAGATACATTATAGTAAAGAAGGAAAACTTTAAAAAGAAATCATACAACCCAGGAAGATTATAAACTAATCCAATCATGTTTGTGTATTAAAACCACAACAAAAAGTGTATATGGCCGGACTAAGTGCATCAATAATAAACATAAGACTATTCTAGGGGACAAAAGAGGCTTGGTTTTGGCTGCAAAGATCAAACCTCAACACTGGGAAATCTACTAGAAATTGTTACTAGGCCAAGCAAGAAAGTCTTGTGATTGTTTAATAGACACCAAAATATTATTTTCTATAACAGTTATAATAAAATGTTTAGTCAGAAGAGGGGATATAGGAGTAAGAAGGGGGGCGCTATAGTAAGGGGTAAAATGAAGAGGTTAATGAGAGGATGGATCCAAGCAAGGTAAATGATGTGTTGAGGGGGTGTATTTGTGTGCATATGAAAATATCAGAATTAAGACCATTTTTTCCACTAATCCAAAACAAGTTTAGATTAGTGTGTCTTCTTTATACTGTGGACCTGGGCATCTACCAACCTCTTCATGTGCTATAACCCATCTATAAAATGGAAAGAATGATCACGAGACTTGAATCAAGTGTCATGTCTGTAATTGCCTACAACAATGACCAGCAGATAGCAATACACAATATGTACCAGGAAGAGCATTTGCATGATCACTGATGCTCCAACAAGGTATCTGTGGTGGTTTGAAAGAAAATGGCCCCCAGAGGGAGTGGCATTATTAGGTGGTGTGGCCTAGTTGAAGTAGGTGTGGCTTTATTGGAGGAAGTGTGTCATTATAGGGGCAGGATTTGAAGTCTCTTCTGCTCAAACTTCATTCAGTGTGACATACAGACCATTTCCTGTTGCCTGTAAGATGTAGGACTCTTAGCTACTTCTCCAGCACTGTGTCTGTCTGCCTGCATATTGCCATGTCCCACTATGATGATAATGGACTGAACCTCTGAACTGTAAGCCATCCCTAATTAAATGATTTACTTTGTAATAATTGCCATAGTCATGGTGTCTCTTCACAGCAATAGAAATCCTAATGTAGTATCTTTAGCCCAGTATACTCTGGGGGGAACTATGCAAAGAGATATTCCCTCTTGGCAAAGGCTCTAACGACATTCCCATTTCACAAAATTTTGAAAGAACATAAGAAAGAAAAGACAGAGTAAAGATGACAACTAGAAAAGGAAGAAATGCCATCATGCACAGTACTATGACTGTATACCCATGGAAGCAGAAGGTTTTAAGAAGCTAACTAGTAGATATTTCCTTATAACCTGAATATAGCAAAATAAGATGCTGGCTAGGCATGAACACCCATCTAAGTCATAGCAAAACCACAAATTATTATAATAAAAGTATTAATAGTTCATGTGAGCAATCTTTAAAAGAATTATATCTTAAAAAATTTAAAGAAATTTGAGTAAATATAAAACCACAGTATAGTCTATGATATTTATGTTATAAACATATCGGTTACCTAAATATGTCTATAGGCTAAATACAATGTAAAAGTGAATTCTCTGAGTTTTTACTGAGAACTGAAAAAGTCCTAAGTATTTAAAAATGTTTAGATTTATTTATTTGTAAGAGCTTTTTGCTTATATGTATATCTGTGCACTACATGTGTGCCTGGTGCTGGTGGAGGTTAGAAGAGGGTGTCAGATCCTCTGGAACTGGAGTGATGGGTGGTCGTGGGCCTCTGTGTGGATGGTGGTGACTAAACTTGAGTCCTATGAAAGAACAAGTGCTTTTAACCACTAAGCCATCTTTCCAGTCCCAGTGCTCAGTATTTAAAAGAAGAACAAATAAGACAGACTACAAAACAACGCTGGCATGCTCTGACTGGGCCCTTCCAGATACTGAAATGTATTGTAAACCAACAATAAAAAGATAAGGCATCAACACAAGAGAAAACAAATATAATCTCCTTCTGTGAATTTTGCTTATAGCTTACATTGACATCAAAAAAGTAGACAAAGAAAATTAGTCAATATAACATTTGTGAAATCCAAGTGATTTAGAAAAGGAAGCCGTGTAACTCATAAGTCTAACAGAAATAAATTTTGACTGCATTTGAAGGTTTCTTTTAATTGAACTTAGATATTTAGAATAAGGTAGAAATGAATGTGTAGCAAATGATAGAGAGAATCACTAACAGAAAGAGATAATTAAGGAAATAGAAATATCTCTATGCTTTCTAGAATTAGAAAGCAAAAAACAAAACCAGAAGAAAATATTGTAAGCCCCTGCTCCCACGTTCCTTCTCTCTCCCCAGTTCCCCACCCTTGTCCTGTCTCCTGGTCCCTAGCACTGTCTCAGGAAGGGTGACACACAGCTCACAATAAATGTGGAACTGCTGAGCTGAGACATTAATTATGTTTGGATTAGAAGGAAAATGGCTATGAACAAAAGAATGAGATCCAATGAGAAAACAGAAATATGAAAGAAGGGCCCAGCGCCCTAGCCATCAGAGGATAGCAAATTAAAACAACCAGGCTTTGTTATCTCCTCCCACTTCATTAACAAAAGGCAAATAGGAGCTGGATGTGGTGGCTCCTGACTGTAATCCAGGCAGGAGAGACGCTGAGGGAGGAGGATTGCTGCCAGGTTCAAGGCAGCCTGACCTACACAGGGAGCTCCAAGACAGCCTGGGCTACAAAATACGACCCGTCTCAAAGAACCAAATGGAAAATAGTAACAAAAAGGCAATCAAGGACACACAGCCCGGTGCCCTTAAGCAACAGCTGGGTGGCTGGGTCTTGCACTAGAGAGCCATTGGCAAAGATTTATGGTGATGGTTCCCACTTTGCTGAGGCTTTGATTTGCTCATTTTGAAATGTGGTAAGTCCCAACGATATGCAGATCTGTGACCAGAGCCCACGGATGCCCCATCCTTCCCTAGCTGCAGCGACTTAAGAGTCTCGAAGGGCGTTTTTAATTTCCTCTCTCTGCTCATCTGAGGTCTGGTTTCCCAGGCAGCCAAGGTGCTGGGTGAACGCAGGGAGACCCATCCATCAATTTTGTGGCTGCCATACCATGGCGATTTTGAATCTTGCAATAAAACAAGATTAATGGACTTGACTTCAGTTGCTCTGACATTTCAGCAACAAAGGCTGTGCTTGCCAGGTTTTTACCCCCTCCTCCGTCTCGTTGCGCAGCCATTTTGTAATCAGCAGCCAGGTTTCTTTTTCTCGCTGGGACTCTGAAAGAAAACAGGAAAAGTAAGGTGTAGCGTGGGCTTCGAAAAGACAGATTACTCTGATTTCTTTTAGTCTTCAAAGACTAATGAGGAGTTTGGTGGGAGACTGGCTCTTACAACCATGTTGGTGGGAGGAAGCTTCGTTTATTTCCTTATATTACCTATGAGCATGCACCTAGATGCATTTGGCTTTGGGTAAGCACCTGGGCATGGACAGGGAGAAGGAACGTACAAAGAACGGCAGTAGGAACTCCTTGACTACAGTTTGATATCCTGTAGTTTCAGTAACCCTTGACTGCCCTGATCTATTATGGAAAGTTCCAGAAATAATTCAAAATTTTAAAATGCATGTCATCCTAAGTAGCAAGATGAAATCTCATGCAACCCCACTCCCCATACTGGGACAGGTACCATCATTTTGCCCAGAGTATCCATGTGTTTAGACTACCCACTCATTAACCACTTAGTACTTGAATAAGTTTAAATTAGTTACCAAATTAATTGTAGTTCCTATTTTCAAATAACCTTTATTTCACTTAATAGCCTCAAAGAATAAGAGACGTGATGCCTGTGTTGCTGTTGTTTTTTATAATATACCTGTTCAATTTTGTCATTATTGTTGTTAATATTTTACTATGCTCAGAAGTATCTGCAATTTTAGGCATCCATTGGGGTTCTTGAAATGCATCCCTCACAAGGAAGGGGGAACTATTTACATGTGAGGCATTTACTCTAAGGGAACCCGAGGGATGCAGCTATGGTAGAGGGATGGTGGCTTCCTTACCTGTAACTCCAGCTCATCCTGGCTCCTTCCAGGGTTTTCCTGAGCTCAGATCTCCACAGAAAAGGAACTGCTGTACCAGAGCCTCCTCTGCCCCTTCCTGCTGTTCCCACCATCATACAACCAATATTTTATTATTTTAAATATATATTAAACTATTATTTATACTGCCTTATTTTTTATGTGTGTCCCCTACAGTAGACATTGTGCTTTCCATAAATAGTATAGTGTCTGAAAGTATTTATAGTACACAATCAAGCTAACACAAATGATCTGATTCTCTTTCTCTGATGTTGGTGTTACAGTCCTGCCTTTCTTACATTTCTCTGTGTCTTTGCACAACTTTAAGATCAGGGTCATGGGCAGATGCTGATAGAAATAGGGGGTAAATAGATGAGCATAGCTAGTAACAGCTCATCTTTCTTTACCCAGCATGCACTGCCTCCCAGGTGTTTACGTTCCTTTTGTGGATCTGTTCTCTTCATCTTCACAACATATCCATGAGGGAGGTACTGCTCACATCCACATTTCACAGACAATGGCATGGAAGTGGGAAGACAACTAGTGAGCTCTCGAGACACAGAGGTAGCTGGAGAGACTGCTCAATGGTTAAGAGAGTGTAGTGCTCTTCTTGGGAAGCCCAGCTCAATCAATTCTCTCTCTCTCTCTCTCTCTCTCTCTCTCTCTCTCTCTCTCTCTCTCTCAGTGTGTGTGTGTGTGTGTGTGTGTGTGTGTGTGTGTGTGTGTGAGAGAGAGAGAGAGAGAGAGAGAGAGAGAGAGAGAGAGAGAGAGAGAGAGAGAGAGGGAGATATTAAAATACAGTATAGTAGAGTTGTGTTATGGGGTCAGGGACAGGGACTTCTAACCTTGATCACAATTACTGTACTGGACACACCCTTGACAGCCAAAGAAGATGTCAGTTCAGGTACAGGTAACTGGTAGTTTTGAACCTTAAGTTCCAACAGAGAACTGTAATCCAGTTCCAGTACCCAGCATGAGAATGCTCAAAAATAATCTGTTTAACAAAGAGTTGTGTATTTACATTTGCTCAAGTGTAGCATAGGGAAACAAATTAAAAGAAAGCAATGATGTTTGTAATTTCTATTGCATTGAGATTAATGAGATAATGATGTGGCTCAGAGGCCTAGCAAAGCCTTGGGTTCCACCCCCAACTCTGCAAATTACTACTGCCTATTATAAAGATAAAGAGTGTCCTAAGCACTGGGCATGCATGATCTTCCTGACTCCTTCCAGCACTTAGACCCATGGTTTATCACATCATCTACAGGGAACATGAAAAGGTGAGCATTTGTCATATCAGCAACAAAAGGAACCCTTAGGAGTGAGAACATCATGATGGTTCTAAAAAGGGAGGCTAAAGTGAAGACTGCACATGAAATATGGGGAAAATCTGGAGAAAAACAGGGGTTTCAGCACTGGTATCAGGAAAAGGAGTATTCAGGGGTAAGTCACTATAGAAACAGGATAGGGGGATCACAATTTTTTATGTGAAGTCTAATTCATAAAGTTAAAAACCTTAACAACTTGCATTGTTGACAAACAACATTCAATCTTGTGTGCATATATAGGTATTAAACACACACACACACACACATTGTGGGGACACACATTGGGGAGAGCATGTGTATCTTACTAGGGAGTTCAGGATGGCCTTAAATTCATAATCCTCCTGTCTTAGCCTCATATCTCGAGTGCTGGGATTAGAAGCATGTGCCACCATGTAGTTTGAGAGAGAGAGAGAGAGAGAGAGAGAGAGAGAGAGAGAGAGAGAGAGAGAGAGAATGGAAGAAAGACAGAGAGACAGTGAGAAAGCAATGTACTTACTTTAAAGTTCTGCAGATGGGTAATATAAAATAAATAAGAATACAAAGGACTCTCTCTGGACAGTAATAAAATTAGGACAGATTGTTGAAATTTATAACCATGTGATATAAAACCTTATTCTGTTTTTGGTGCCCATGACTGTGATGTCTATTGGACCACAAAGAAATTTTGATAAAGTCTTTCCACAGTGGAAGCAACAGGGATTTGTTCTCCAAGCCTAATAAAATATTTATTTTTAAATTCAATCCCCTAAAAATTTTAAAGACTATATCCTAAATAATTGAATGGTGAAAGAAAAATAAGAGTAATTATAATATTCTCAATAGATAGAAATAAGAATGTTATATATTAACACTTCAGCAGTAATCAAAAATGGTTATTAAAGAATTTCTAAGGAAGAAAAATGAATAAAAAGTAAGTATTTCACTTTACATTTTAGAGATAGAGGATAAAATAAGGACATTTTAAAAATACTGATATGAAATAAAATTAATGGTTTGTGAAAGGTATAAAATTAATGATTTCATGCAGAGGCTGTATTATCATTTAACCCATAAACTACATATCTTAGTTAGGGTTTCTATTGCTGTGAAGAGACACCATGACCATGGCAACTCTTATAAAGGAAAACATCTAGTTGGGGCTGGCCTACAGTTTCTGAGGTTTAGTCCATTATTGTTATGTCAAGAAGCATGACATTGTGCAGGCAGACATGGTACTGGAAAAAGCTGAGAGTTCTACATCTTGATTCACAGGCAGCAGAAGGAGACTGTGTGCCACACTGGGCATAGCTTGAGCATATTAGACATCAAAGCCTGCCCCCACAGTGACACACCTACTCCAACAAGGCCACACCTCCTAATAGTGCTATTCCCTATGGGCCAAGCATTCAAACACATGAGTTTATGAGGGCCATTCCTATTCAAACCACCACACTACACAAACTTAATCTAACCAGGGGAATCAAGCAACTTCAAATGAGGAAGCTATGAATAAAGAAACATAAAGAATAGCAAATTAAATCTATCCTAAAAGATTTGAAAATCTTGATTAAGCATTTTGTAAGACTGTACCCCTAAAGGCATCCAATCCCCCCTTGATAGTTACTTACTTTCCTTGTAGTAGCTCTATTGTCTGTCTGAAGAATTCTAGTGTTCCCCAGATCATAACTTTGAGGCCATTGCTGGCAAATAAAAATATTGTCAATGATGCCTTCCTGCAATACAAATAATCAAAATGACAGGAATCATTAAATAAAGTACAAATAAAGAGTCTCAATATTCAGTGTACCATCAGCCAGGTTGAAGCAAGGACCATTCTTTGTTCAACCCATTAGAACATGAAAGAAAGGGATAGACATCTGGATTCCTGTCTTTCTTTCATCCCTTTGGCAAGGACACCCTGGACAAGTCCTTTAGTACAAAAGCTTCAGTGAAATGGTGAGAGCTACAATATCTCATTCAAAGGCTTGTCAAGAGGAGTCACTGAGATGATGTGCCTTTTGGGTCTACTCAAGGAAAAGCTCTTGTAAATGTCATCTATTATTCACCAAAAAAGTAACAACTGCAGGATGAATAATCAAGGGAGTTAACTCCAGGACATAGCAGAAAGCTGGAACAAATAGTGAATGGGTTCCATTTTCTGGGCCCTTAAAAGACGTCAATGTTCTCATTTTAAATTACATATTTAATAACATTTTAAACCAGTAACAATACAGTCTCCGTTACAAGGTGTTGCTTATGCCTTGCTTTTAATATAACATCACATTAATCCCCTCCAACAACCCTATGAATTAGGATTTAACTTCTGCCTCTAGATCAAGACGTGGAAGTTCAGAGCATCTAAATAACTTTCCAAGTATCCCATATGGCAAAGATGGAGTAGCCAAGACATAGAAGCAGGCTTCATAGCCCTCCTAGACTTCTACAGGGAACTGTTTCTCTCTAACCCGTAAAACCACATACATGATAGAGAAGAGCAAGCCAATTTCACAATCAGTGGAGATCATTGCCTCCATTCCTCACCACCCTACATGGATAATGGCCAGAGCATGGATACAGGATCAGAATCAGCCACTTGTTAATACCAATACGGTAAGAAAAGAATAATGAATAAATGGAATTATCTTCCATGGGCATCACTCACCTAAAGAGACATCAGTGCATTGCTGGATGGACAAAGGAACTTTTGAAATTTGTTATGAGCTTGAGAGAAGGTTATTTGCCAGGGTGAGTCTTTGTCAAACTTGCTTATGACTTCAAAGAGCCAAATCTTTGTTTCATTGACTCTCTGTATTGTTCTTTTACCTTCTGTTTCATCTGTTTTTGCCCTTGGTCCTTTTCCCTCAATCTCCTAATAGGGAATTCGGCTTGTTCTTGTTTTCTACATCGTTTAATTATTTATTTGAGAATTCTCTGATTTCTTAAAAGTAGGCATTTACAGCTTTCCTCTTGGAACATTTTCATTGTATTCTACAGATTCTGGAATGCTGTCTTTTCAGTTTCTTTTCGTTCTAGGAATTTAACAAATTTCTCTCATGATTAATTTGGTAATTCACTCATCATTCAAGACTGCTGTCTAAGCTCTCTGACTTAGTGGATTTTCTATAGTTTCTCTTGCTGTTGATTTGTAGTCTTAATCCACTGTGAAGATTGAATACATGACATTATTTCAGTGTTCTTGGATTTGTTACTACCCAGGTTTTTGTCCTAAAACATGGTCTATTTTAGAGAAGTTCCATGGACCAAAGACAGTGTTTATTCTGCAATGTGTGGGTGGGGTGTTCTGTAGACACTGTTAAATCTACTTTATCTACAATATCAGTTCTGGTGCTTCATCATTTAAATTTTGTCCGGATGACCTACCCATTGCTGAGAGTGGAGTACATTGTCAATCTGCACCTTACATCAAGTCATATTCATTTTATGAAATTGGGTACAGCAGTGTCTAACATGTGTGTGTGTGTGTGTGTGTGTGTGTGTGTGTGTGTGTGTGTAATTTGTTAGTATCTATCTTTTGTTTAAAGAATTGAAACCTTTAACATTCAGAGCTATTATTAAAAGGTGTGTGAATGTTACCTTGATATTTACAAGGTTGCCACTTTTGATGGCACATAGAATATGTTAAATCTATTATAAAAGGGCATTGGGAAGAGGAAGATCCACATCCATGTGGTCACAGGAAATAATCAATATAGATAAGCCAATGAGAGTTAGGAAAGCCAGTGGATACAATGAAGAAATGGCAACTGTTTCCAAATGCCACTGCAGCCTTTGGTGCAGCCTCAGGACCACAGATACTGTAGGCATCCTTCCCCAAAGTGGATGTAGGCTCCTTGCAAAGAGAGATGGAAGGGCTTCCCTGGGTTTAATGTTAACCTTTTCCCACTCAGGGACCACAAAGACATCCAACTTTCCCCCACCTACTTTGCATCCTGGATACTGAGCTACTTGGAGCCTCAAGATACAAAAGCCACATTTCCTGCTCCAAACTTCAAACCCCTTAGAGAAGATTTCCTAAGGTCACTGATCAGAGCCCCCAGCCCAGTGTGACTGGAGAAGCCAAAGACTGCCTCTTTTCCTCTCAAATCCTTATCTGCTTGTGCTTTAAGCTTTATGCCTCCTCACCTTCTGTAGCCAAGGTGAAATGCCTTGTAAATCAGCTTGCAGTTAAATCATTCTCAGCCTCCAAACCTACAGGAGACAGATGCAGGAATGCCAAGGAACCAACTTCTGAAATTTGGGTGTAGCCCATCCCACCCCAGGGGAGATATTTCCTGCACCTAGGCAGGCTTCCACATCCACCCAGGAGATTTTGCAGGAAGAATCAATTAGAGCCTCTGGCTCTCCCCACCCCAAAGCTCCTTTGTTTTAATTGCTACAAAGAAACATAAAGTGTACATATTAAAGGGATTCTATGTAACAGCCAATAGGCATATATGTCCCATGATACTTCAATTGGGCTAAATACTTATTCCTTAAACGCTTAACTATTTTTTGCTGTAAGAACCCTTCTTCTAGCTTTTTAAAATGTATAGTCCACAGTTATTATCTGTAGTTGTCACACTGTGCCACAGCCCCGGAGCTTCTTGCTCCTATCTTATGTAATGCTCATTGATCAAGATGTCCCCACACCACCCTCATAACTGTCCCTGGTCTGTAATAACCATTTTCAATTTTTATGAGATTAATAATTTTTTACATTATATGTGAGTTTCATTATGAATCACACTGTGCCTGACTAATTTCACTTAACATGCTGATCTCTAGTGTTGTCTATTTTGCACAAATGACAGGATTGCATCCTTTTGTGTGCTAAATAGTACTCCGTTTTGTGTAACACATTTTTAGTATCCACTCAACAGTTTGTAGATACTTGTTTTGTTTACATGTCCTAAGTATTATTTATGAATAATACTTAAGAACATGGGAATATGAAGATCTCTCTTCAACATGCTGATTTCATTTCCTTTGCATATAAAATTTCACTGGGATTTTTGTATCAGATGGAAGCTCCATATTCTTTTAATTTTTGAGGGCCTCCACACTGTTTTCTATAATGACTACTAATTTGCATTCCTGTCGATGTTATCCATGGCTTCCCTTCTCTTTGCCTCCTCATCTTCATTTTTTTTTTTACTATTGTTGTTGCCTTTTTTGTTTGTTTTTTTTGTTTTCAATAATGGTCATTATTACAGGGATATCTCATTATGTTAACTCTTTTTTCTTTCTTTAAACAAAATCTCATGTAGGCCAAGCTGGCCTTGGAGTCACTACATAGTAAGAATAACCTTGAACTCCTAAACTTCCTGCCTTTGCCTCCATAGTCCTGGGATTACATATGTGCTCCATTGTGGCTAGTTTACATGTTTTCGGAATTGCTTAGCATGTAGTAGGCAGTACTCCACCAACTAAGCTGCATCTTCAGTCCCTTATTATGGTTTGGTTTGCATTTCCTCAGCACTTGTGTGGAACTCCCCTGGGGTTCCGAAAAAGCCACTCTAACCACAGAATCTTATGACTCAAGGGAGCTGAATTATCTAGCCATACTGTGGCAGTTCCACTCAATGGTGAGACTTTCGACTCAAATGACCCATGGAAAACTATGCTAGTATGAAGCTGGAAATTAGTAGGTGCTCAACAATGTTGGCTGGTACCCAAGAGCCAAGCTACCTGACAACCTTCATACAACAGAAAGTTTTCCATGCCCTTTTTATCAGATAACTACTGGACTTAAACCCCTTAGTAAGTCAAACCTGGCTCTTGGTATCTATTAGTTCTTTCTTCTTCAAGCTTGTGTTCCCCCTCCCCAAAACCTGTACACACCGTTTTTTGCTATCTAGATGTGAAAAGTTTGAAGAATCAATGTAAAAAAAAACACAAAGCAAAGGGTAGGTAAACATGTGAACTGCCAGGAGAGGTTTCAGAAGTGGTCCCAAACTGCTTTGTTCAGATCACATGTAACTGCCCACGGTGTTTCTAGTCATTAGTATACATCACTGGCACAGACACCCTGACCACAGACAACCAGAATATCTCTCCCCATTGAAAGAAAGTCCAAAACAAAGCAATTTTTTTTATTTAAAGACTTATAAAATGGGAGAATATACTCTCTTGTTACTGGAATCACTTCACTTTATAATGAGTCTTTACCCTCTGAATTTAACCTCAAGCGCCAACCATGCATAAAGAGAATGCAGGAGAATGCAGCCTGGTAACCAGCAAGCCTTTCCCACAGCTTTTTTGTCATTACAGTGGCCATGATAAGAATATCCCGTGTGTGTTGATATGAGGAGCTGAGGGACATGATATGGCTGGTCTGGAAGCAATGTATATTGGGGTGAGTGGCCATGACTGATCTAGTAAACAGTGTGTGAGGGTGTAAAAGCCTGAAGGAAATGATCATGGTTGGTTGGGAAGCAATATGTATGGGTGTGAGGGGCTGAGAAAAATGGTCATGAGTTCTCTAGAAAGAGTAGGCATGGGTGTAAGAATCCATGGGAAATGGCCATGGCTGATCCAGGAGTTTCTCCAGGCACAGAGATTGAAGCAAGCAAATACCTTCCTGTGGTTTGGACCAAAAAGAAAAGCATATTATCCCTCAAGCCTCTCCTCTCCTGTAGTGACAGGGTCACAGATCTACTTGAAAATGGCCATTCTTTGGACCTGTCCACTAAATATGGGTCACAGGCTCTGGGACCTCTACTCCCTTCCCACA